TAACAATAATACCAACCCATACCATATGGTAAAGACTTCTAAGAACTAAACACTAATTCATACCAACCCATACCATATGGTAAAGACTTCTAAGAACAAAACATTAATCCATACCAACCCATAACGTATGGTAAAGACTTCTACGAACAAAACACTAATCCATACCAACCCATACCATATGGTAAAGACTTCTAAGAACAAAACACTAATCCATACCAACCCATACCATATGGTAAAGGGGACCGAATCAGGTCAGTAACTCACCCATTCAGTAACTGTTAGTAATCCAATCATTGTCCCCACGTGTTAGTTTTTTCCTTTTATTTAAATTAAACACGGAGGGGAACTAAGGTAAATTGTACCCCCTATTTAATGTTGACGCACTGACGCTCTGACGTTGACTTTTTGACCAGACGCGGATCTCATCCTCCCACCCTATACTGGTTCCCTCTCTCTCACTCTTTGTTTTATTATTAAAAGAAAAAATACATTAGTTCTTCTCTCTCCCATATACAACAAAAATGAATCTAACCATTCTAGCTATCTATGTTCTAATTCCATCTCAAATTGAATGATGGTTTTTTCATTAAATGATTCAGTGCTAAAGACAGTAATTACAAGTATCAGTATGATTATCACTTTCTACTATAATGGTAAAATATGGTAAATATGTTGAAGAAAATCACAAATCTAACTATGATACAATACCACATGGTATAACGTGGTAAAACATGGTAAAATATGTTGTAGAAAATTACAAATCTGACTACCATACAATACCACATGGTATAACGTGGTAAAACATGCTACAGAAATTTACATATCTAATTACCATACCATATGGTATAACATGCTAAAATAAAATTACAAATCCAACTACCACCACATGGTAAAACAGGTTACAGAAAATTATAAATATAACTATCATTCAATACCACCATAGTAGAACATGGTTAATCGAATAAACACAAATTAATTGTAATTACCATACAATACCACATGGTTTGAGAAGGTAAAACCATACGAAAATAATATAAATTTAATTACAACCCTCTACGATCATAGGAAAACATTATATCCAAAAAATACATTTCGTTACCACACTTTACCATATGGTATACACACATTACCATATGGTAATGATATAGTGTGGTAATCTCAATATATATATATACAATTACGACTCTCTTCACTTTCTTCTCCCACTTCATTGTCTTCTAACTCCTTTCTCGGAAGTGTTGTCGATTACCACCCACTACCATCATGATAAAACTCGTGACCATAAAAATACATTTAGTTAGCACACATTACCATATGGTATAGTGTGATAATATCAATACATATTACCTAAAAGAAGGAAGAAAAACAGAATGAGGGAGAGAAAAAAAAACTGTCTTCTGTCTCCTCTCATTTCCTCTTCCACAATCAAGAACACCAAATGCAAAAAAAAGGACGAAGTTCGGAATTGAAAATTCACAAACAAATACTAAAAACATAAAACATGCAAATTCGACTCACATAGATCTGTCCCCTCTTGGTCAATATGGAGCGTCATCTATTTTGAGGTCGAAAAAAGAAAGAACAGAAGGAAGGAGCAGATCGAGAGAAGGAGGATTTGGAGCGTCATTGAATTTGAGAGGGGAGGCTGCAATTTTTTTCTTTGTCGATTGGAGAAAAAAAAATGAAGAACAAGAGAAGGGAACAGATCTAGATCTGGAAAAAGGTGTTTGGAAGAGAGAAGGAAGAGAGAAAGAGAAAGAAAAAAGAGAGAGGAAGAAATCTGGTTTTTCTCTTTCCTCAATTAAAAGTGAGCATATAAATGCTGGAAAGAAATACAATTTTAAAAATCGGACAAAAATTCCCTTCCCCCACCCCGCGTCAATATCAGCCACACAATGCTTCCCTCATCAGATCTACAGTTCTCATTTGATTACTGATGGATGAGTAACCTTTGGTTACTCACTGTATCCTAAGCCATGATAAAGACCTCTATGAACAAAACACTAATCCATACCAACCCATACCATATGGTACAGACTTCTAAAATGCAAACACCACCTCATATATACCATGATACAGAATGATAAAAATAATTATACAAACTCACAAAGACAATAATAAACAACAAACTAGATACTCTTTATTAGTCCAATAGGTAGTATCAAAACTAATTGAATCACCAAAATAATGATAATCCATCCGCATCTTCCCATCTGCCCAAAAAATACTAGCAATGTTCTCATCAACATCAACCTCCACCTCATGAAAGAACCTAGGATCCAGTTGTGCTTGACGTCTAAAGTAGGATAGCAATGCAGTTGCATCACCATACTCCATTGATAACGTCCTCACAGTTCACAGATGGTTCTTCAAATCATTTTTTGTGAACCCAACAAACTTCTGACCACCACCTGTCCTACTAATTGTATTATACGAAGAAGTAACACCAATACCAGCAGCATCATTAACCTCTGCCAACATCTTGTACACAGGAGTCATTTGTCTGCTGGATCTCACATAGTGACGCAGAGACTCAGGAATCATGTCATGGTTGTGCACATTATACCAACGATAGATCTTGTAGCATTTCAACTCTTTAAACCACCTCAGTTGTATATAAGCACCATTACATCCACCCCTGAGTTCTGGAACATTACGAACACGAACCTTCGTATCAATAACACCTACATTATCAGGGTTATTCTCACTACCTTTTCTCCAACCTTCCTTATTGCAACAATACTTGATATAATAAACAGCTGAAGAACCACCATTAAGCTTCGGACATGCTGATTGGTTATAAATTCTCACACCAAGATCTTCCTGATTCCCATAATCCACATAGAAATTATATGCATCATCTGGTGTATTGAACTGTAAGTCCTTCCAAGAATCACGAACAGTAAGATATATACCATTGAAACCTACAAATATTATAAAGCAACATATTAAATATGTACAAATATAATACCAGCATGGTATGATAAGGAAAAATGAATTCCACACCACAACAGAATCACATCTCAACATATACCAGTAATTATCACCATGGTAAGATATAGCAAAATTAATTCCACACCACAATAGTATGAAATCTCAACGTATACCAATAATTACAGCCATGATACAACAATTACCACCATGGAATGATATGGTAAAATGATTTCATGCCACAACAGAATCACATCTCACCATATACCGATGATTCCAACCATAGTACAAGTAATTACCACCATGGTATGATATGGTAAACTGAATTCCACACCACAACAGAATCACATCTCAGCATATACCAGTAATTACCACCATGGTAAGATATGACAAAATTACAGCCATGATACAACAATTACCACCATGGTATGATATGGTAAAATGAATTCCACGCCACAACAGAATCACATCTCAGCATATACCAATGATTACAACCATGATACAAGTAATTACCACCATGTGTATGATATGGTAAAATGAATTCCACACCACAACAGAATCACATCTCAGCATATACCAGTAATTACCACCATGGTAAGATATGACAAAATTAATTCCACACCAAAACAGAATCACATCTCAGCATATACCAATGATTACAACTATGGTACAAGTAATTACCACCATGGTATGATATGATAAAACTTAAATACAGAGCACAATAATATCACAAACACAACACTATGGTATCACCTCTCATCGTATACCATTAATTACCACCATGGTACCATATGGTATCTAACACATTCAAACTTCAATTAACAAACAAATTTGTATATCTTACCTCCTGATTCACCAAAGTTAGGTGAATGACCAAATCCAAGATCGCTAGATGAAGAAGTCGTTCCAACAATGCTAGATGAAGAACCAGATCCTACAACGCTAGATGAAGAACCAGATCTATCGAATGGAACAACATCGCCACAATTTACGTAACTCATCTCACCAGAATACTACAAAACACCAAACCATAAAGAACATGAACAAGCTCGATTAGCTAAACAAAACACACAAAGAAACTCAGACAAAGTAAAATCTACAAAACCTACAAACAAACACGCTCGATTAGCTAAACATGAACAAGCTCGACTAGCTTTTATCGCAACGAAAAACCTACAATGAAACCAGAGATCGACAAAACGCTTAACGAAACCAAAGATAAACAGAAGACTCAACGAATCACGCCAGGTTAAAAGTTAACAACAGAACAGGAAGAATCAGAAAAACTAATATCTAACCGGAGATAAACTCGCCGTCGATTTAGGTAATCCACATCCACCTAAGTTCTCGCCGTCGATCAATTATGGAGAGAAAAATTCTTCAAAGCTCGGTCCCCTGTTTCTAAGTTGCTGCTTGCACTTTCTCTCTCTAAAAACCCAATCCAGCTCGCACAGAAAGATTCGCAACGAATAAAGAGGGAAAGTAATTAATTTAAATAACGAACAAGAATACTCCTGACCATCACCGCATCAATCACAACCACAAAATGAGTCCGACCCAGATCGACGGTTGCTATGTGGTTACTCACCCTATCTAATTCCCATACCCTATCTAATTCCCATAGAAAACTCTCCACAGAGCAACGAGGGAAACAACTAATTCGGGGAATCTTCCGTTAACTTGTCTTAATCCAACCGTAATTTTATTTATTACTAAAAAAATCCCCGTAAAGCTGCGGATTTCTGGACAAATAAAGAGGCAAATCGGATAAAGCAATAAATCAGGAAGAAAAAAAAAGAAAATCTGCACCGAAACCCGCGATTTGTCGTCGTGGCGAGTGGCGAATACGGTGGGCTCTGTGGCGGGTCGCTGCTTCCGGTACCTTCCTTAAATCAACCGCCACCCAACCCGGACCCTTTTGGTTTTGGTTTTGGTCAGAGAGCAGCCCACGTGAGAAGGAGAAGGGTAAGAAGAAAACAATCCGACAGACGAGCGAGCGAGGAAGAATAGATGGGAGGAGGGAGTAGCTGCACAAATTCCTGAGTCGGATTTGCTGCTGCTTCACGGAAATGGCGACGTGCTCGTCCCAGGATCAGGTTGATAGCGCTGTTCTACATGCCAATGTTGCCGTTTCGGGCGGTGAGGGAGTCGGTAGCGGTACGAGGATCGGGGTCGACGCTGAAGGTGGAGTTGGTGGAGGAGAGGCGAAAGCCGACGTGTTCGTGAGAAACCCTAGCGATGGTGGTGGTCGCACTGCTGCTGCTGCTGCTGCAGCTGGCCCTCCCGTCGACGATTGCTGCCCGATCTGCTTCGGCGACTTCTCCGTCGCCTGTAAAGCTAATTGCGGCCATTGGTATTGCGGTTCGTTCCCTTCTTTTCCCCCTTTCTGGATTATGCGTGTTCTCGTCTTTCTTAGGTGCCACCTGACACCTGTTGTGGAAATCGTCATTTCCATTACTAGATTGTTGCGTGGTGTGTGGAATTTTAAGTGCTTGATGTGTCTAGCTTCATTTCCATGGCTTCCTCGATCACCTGAGTTGAAACCAGGACTGAACGGTCTGGAGAAAGTAGCTTTGGGCTTTCTCTGATCTTTCGGCAGTGATTCTGTCAAGGCTTTTGTGTTTCTGGACTCTGGACGGGAAATGGAGCCAATGTAAAAGCCACTTCCTTTTTAACTTGCTCAGAGCCTGACTTGTGTTGTTTTAAGTCTTAACACACTAGTTGGGGGCCTCTCTGTTACATTTGTGCTTTATATTTGTGATATTTTCAGTTGCAGAGTTTTCATAATTAAGGTGTGAATGTCATATCCATGGTGATATGCTGATTGTTCCTAATGCAGTTACCATCTTGGGCATCAAGTCAAGTTCTTATGTGCCATGGGGGTGTCTTTCTTTGCAGGAGGTTGCATTCTCCAGTTTTGGAACTACTCAGCAGCATCAAGACCATGCAAATGCCCAATGTGCTCGTCTAGCATCACTAAGTTGACACCAGAGGCATCATTACTCAATCAACGAGAGCAGGAAGTTAAGGATGTTTTGCGGGGTGTTGAGAGGTACAATCGCTTGTATGTTGGAGGAGCACGAGGCCTCGTTCAGGTGGCACTTCTCCCTCTGCCAAGTTATCATCATCTCATTTCTTAGTGGTAGAATAATGCGACTCTTTATGTCTCTGCCTCTCTTTCGACCCAGAACGTGCTTCCTGGAACTCTGTTGATCTCATCAGCTTAACTGGAAGTTTATTGCAGAGTTCCTTGTCATTGTTGTATACTTGTTGTCTGCGAGATAACTAACTGCCACGGTTATGAACAGAAAGTGCGAGAATCACCGTTATTCATCAAGCGAATTGTTCAGCGGGTGATGGATCCTGATAGACCCGAGTACTTCCTTCAGGAAGCTCGCCTCTTGGCTGTAAGTTCCTTAAACATTAGAACGCCGCCTTCTGAAATGCATTAGGAATGTGGATGATGGTAGTTGGGGTACATTGATGCTGACCAATGTAGTTAGTGGCGCTATCCTGTGCACTTCTCTGTTCATGTGTTAAGATCACGCAAAAGCATTTAGATGTCATTTTCACACATTGCTACAGAGTCTAGATGCATATATCTGATTAGTTTGCAGCGTTTAACACATTTCCTCTCGAAGTGGATGCTTTCAAGTACTTTGTTCTCTAAAGTTGGTGTCGGGATCTTCTGAGAACGTATACGCTGCGACAGTAGTATGAGGGTAGCTTAAAGTGAAAGTTTGGAGGATGAGCTGCTGAAACTCTGTTTCTTTACCATACTTTTCAGATGATAATGAGCATTCTCTATGCATTCTCTCCCTTCGACTTTATTCCAACAGGTCAGTGGCCCTTTTCATGATTTCATCTTTTATCTTTCGCACTTCCCACTTCGGATTCACATACTGTACGATTCTTGACATGTTTAGGCTGATATCTTTCACTTGTCTTGCCTGGCAATAAAATTCGACGGATGCAGGTGGGGCAGGAGTGGTGAGATTGTTTGATCACGTAGCCATCATAATAGTTCTCGGCCTCAAACTGATTGGCCTTTACCTTCGACGGAGGCTCCATCAGCGAGTTAGGCAAATGGCTGCCCAACCTCCAGCTGAATGACGGACATTACCGAAGCCGATCAACAGAGGCTATGCAGCAGTTTACTCATGTATAGTTAGACTATAGTCTTCTGTTTGTTTTAACCACTTGTATACAGTCGATCGTTGCGAGAGATTGAGGGGTTGTTGCCCTTTTGGCGTGCGGCTTTCGTTGTAAATAACTAAATATCATATGCACAAATATATCTACTAGAGTGAAATTGGTACAAGTATGTAGTGAATTCTGAATAGTGATGGTTTATTGGAGAGAATCTAAACATGGTTCCTCGCTAATCTGTCATTGGTGCCGTCGCTTCTTCGTTCTTTCCTTTTTTCCCCATAACAGTACGATCCAATTTATTATACCATCAAAATGTCACATTCTATTAGGAAATCTGAAATAGGTCTGGTCAAACTGGTAGAACGCAAATAAAACAAAGAACTGAGTAATGGAAAGATCAGAGGACCAATATATATAGATAAAAACCAGATCCTCGCGGGTTTCTATATATTTTGATATTTTAACAATTATTTATGTTATGTGGTATTTTTTTATCAAACAAAATACATTTTTATCGTTACAACCTAAGGTTTGTGACAATTATAGTCTACAACTCCACCAAAATCAATTCAAGCCTTTTGTACATCCTTCATACTCGTATTGCCCCTACTGGTTGGGTCTGGTCTTACTGGCTTCGATCTGACCAACCTTGTTCATCTCGACCCACCGTAGGGATGACAAGGGGGAGAGTCGAGGGCGTATAGTGCACTTTCATTACTCTACCCAAAATTGTTGGGTACTATACCTATACCCATACATGAATTTGATAAGAACTGGAAATAACCGTAGACAGACACCGAGATTTACGTGGTTTCCCTGATATTCAGGACTAGTCCACGGGAGAGATAGAACTCTCCAGAGTCAATATTATTCAGCTTAACCTTACAGTACAGAGAAGGTACAAATATATAGTTAGCTATGGGGTTTGAACGTAAACCCTACTGGTTTATCTAGGTAACTCCTGCAATTGAGGGAAATTACAAAAGATTACCTAAATAAACTAAGTCGTCACTTTTAACACCCTCACTCAAATTAATGGTGCTTACGCAACATCAATTTGTTAGACAAATACTAGTGACAACTAGTGCCAACTGCTTTTGTCAACAAATCTGCAGTCTGATCTTCTGTTGACAAATAGCTAAGCTGAATTACTCCTTCTGAGACAAGCTGCCGAATATAGTGAACATGCGTCTCGATATGCTTTGTCCTATCGTGCAATACAGGATTGGTTGCAATTCTGATTGCATTGGTATTATCTCCAAAGAGCTGCATCGGCATGTCACAAGTAAGACCCAAATCACTCAACAAATGTTGCAGCCACATTAATTCTGAACTGACTTCAGACATCGACCTGTACTCTGCTTCTGTCGAAGACTTGGATACCCTATCTTGCTTCTTGCAACGCCAAGAAATAAGTGAATGTCCAAGTCTCACACACCATCATGACTTGGATCTTCTAGTATCAATGCAGCCTGCAAAATCAGCATCTGCAAACGCTTCTAACCTCGGCTCCCCATGACTAGGGAAGAAAAGTCCCACATCCTGTGTACCTTGTAAGTACCTCAAAATTCTGTGAACTGCATCAAGATGCATTGTCCTGGCTATACCCATGTACTGGCTGACTACTTGTATTTCATATGCTATATCAGGTCTGGTGGAACTTAAGTACCTGAGACTCCCGACTATCGTGCGATAGGTTTTCTGATCATCCAACAATTCACCACTTGATCTGCTCAACTTCAAATTTTGCTCCATTGGTGTAGCACATGGTTTGCAGCCATCAAACTGATGTTCTATTAACAAATCCCGAACATACTTCTTTTGTCCAACAAAGATGCCTTATATAGTTCGCTCAATCTCCAACCCAAGAAAGTAGGAGACATCTCCAAGTTCCTTCAGTTTAAACGCTCTATGCAATGTCTCCTTCAATTCTCTTATACCTGCTTGATCACTACCAGAAATGATCATATCATCAACATACAACAAAATTACAGTAATACCTTGCACTGTATTTCTTAAGAACAAAGATGGATCATTCTGGTTTTGAGCAAAGGCCGCTTGAATGACTATGCCATGGAACTTCTCAAACCAGGTTCTCGGAGCTTGTTTAAGGCCATATATGGATTTCTTCAACCGAAAAACGACATTTGGACCACCTTTTGAGTAGCCTGCTGGACAAGCCATATAAATGGTTTCCTTCAGTTCGCCATGAAGGAATGCATTTTTCACATCCAGTTGCACAAGTGGGCAATTTCGCATTGCTGCAACAGCTAAAACACACCGCACAATCTGCATCTTTGCAACCGGAGCAAAGGACTCGTCATAGTCAATCCCATATTCCTGGCTAAACCCCTGAGCAACTACCATGGCCTTAAAACGCTCAAGTGTCCCATCTGGTCTAAGTTTCACAGCATATACCCACTTACTGCCAATAATGGACATTTCCGGAGTCCTTGGAACTACATCCCAGGTCTCGTTTTCCTCAAGAGCATTTACCTCTTATGTCATTGCCGCATCCCATTCAGGAATACCATGAGCAAACCAATAGTGGGATGGAATCGGGATTGGATCCACTACAAAAGTCACATAATCATGATGACGAACAGGTGGTTGGCCTTTATTAATCCGGTCAGACCTACGAAGCACAATAGGAACATCAACATCATCTTGCTGGTCACCATCGCTATTATTCATTTCATTTGATTGACTTTCAGAGTTTGTGGTAGAGCTTGACGAGAAATTAGTAGAAGAAAGACCATTTGGTGAAGAAGAGCTGTCGCTTGAAGGAGAGCTAAACCTGCTGCTACCACTTGAAGAACTGCTGCCGCTCGAAGAAGAGCTGGACCTGCTGCTGCTTGACGTAGAACCTTCCAAAGAGGAGACTTCATTATCACTCCCTTCCCCTCCCTGCGTCAAGGGAAAAGAAGCAGGCCCAAGATCAGCACCACCGCTCCTATTTGTCGCCAAAGCATCCGCAACAACAACAGATTCAAGAAAAGAGAGACTTCGAGCAAATTCGTCACAGGATGATGCCACCTTCGTTGAATAATACATCACAGACTCCATAAAGAGGACATGGTAAGCAATACGTAATCTCTGACCTTCAGGATCATAACACAAGTAGCCCTTATGACGATCGCTATATCCCAAAAACACATAGCAAGCAGTTTTGGGATCTAGTTTATTTCGTTCCCGGCGAGGTAACAGTACAAAACATAAGCAGCCGAATACTCGAAGAGCACTATAGTCGGGAAGTCGGGAGTACAATTTCTAGAATGGGGATGCATTGTCCAAAACGGCAGCCGAAAACCTCAGATGAGAGGCTCTGATACCATGATAAGAACTGGAAATAATCGTAGACAGACACCGAGATTTACGTGGTTTCCCTGATATTCAGAACTAGTCCACGGGAGAGATAGAACTCTCCAGAGTCAATATTATTCAGCTTAAACTTACAGTATAGAGAAGGTACAAATATATAGTTAGCTGTAGGGTCTGAACGTAAACTCTACTGGTTTATCTAGGTAATTCCTGCAATTAAGGGAAATTACAAAAGATTACCTAAATAAACTAAGTCGTCACTTTTAACAGAATCTGGTAGAATATAAAACCATAGACATACCCGATCGGATTTTGAGTATCCATAGTTATCCATGAAAATAATTTCTCTTTATTACTTTAACCAACATGTTAACAATTCCATGTATATTGACTTTAGAGAAGTGAAACTTCACAATATTAAATTACTAGAATGAAGAAAATTAGTTGAAAACAATATCGTTTCATGAAACTATTATATATGTGATAAATATCAAAATGTTGAGAAAAATAATGATAATTTTTTAACAAATACATATGCATGTGTATTATTAGGTGTGTTCGGTTGGATAGTAAGAAAAACATGCACGTCTATCACCCCAATATTTGGATTCAAATTTTACCCATACATAAAAATTCTACAGATTATGGTTTTATAGTACCCTATTAGGTCCATCCCTAACCTACCATGCGCCTTGAGTAGGCGGCCTAGTTTTGCTCCCTTCTTGGTGTACCTGAGATGGCCCATGCCCCCGCCTTGGACTGTCAGGCTCAACTCATCCTTTTCCATCTGGCAGTTCGGGCCTAGTCGGCCCAATTAACTTCAACATACGACCTGATCCAAGTCATCACCATTGGACCTCACACCCAACTACCAAAGTCCATCTTCAAAGCTCAAGGAGTCATAGCTAGACATCTTAGATTTCCCACTCATCACAGTTATCTTTTGTGCATTCAGAGTGGGCAACAGCCGTGCCACATTCTTTGGGCTACACGTGAATTGACCCGCACGTTTGTCCTCGAGACCTTCATGGAGGGTTTCACACATGTTGCCCTACCCACGCTTAACATTGTTGTCGTTTGTAATGGGTGTGCACTATACGCCATCGACTTTACCCCTTGCCATCCCTACGGTGGGTCGAGATGAACAAGGTCGGTCAGATCAAAGACGGTAAGACCAGACCCAACTAGTAGGGGCAATACGGGTATGAAGGATGTACAAAAGGATGGAATTGATTTTGGTAGAGCTATAGACTCGGTCTTTTCCCCTATAATGACCCCCTAGCTGAAGATCGTCACTTTGGGCGGACTATGGAAGTGGGGCAAGGTTCTAAGCCTGGAATGGGGGGCCATTGAGGGTATCGATCGAAGGAAGAGGATGCATGAGACTTCTAAGATCCACCTACATGAGATCATAGCAAGGCTACCACGATAGTAGCCGAATGTATGGTGGTTATAATCCAACTTATGATGGATAATGGAGAAAATGGAGATGATGACTTTATCATTAAGACCAAGCCTCCACTCATTGTGTTTCCTTAGTTCAATGATCAAGAGGATGTATGATTGTGGTTGTATGCTGCAGACAGGTGGTTTCGCAACCATAAGATTATTGGGGGGGGGGGGGGGGGGGGGGGGGGGGGGGGAGAATAGTGCATCTGCGTCCTTCTATTAAAGGCGATGCCTTACAGTGGTGGGCACCAGAGAAGTTGGCCACACTAAGGCAGATCGGGACGGTCACTGATTATTGGTCAGTGTTCTTTAGGGCAAGGTTGCTCTCAAAATGCGTGGGCATGACAGAACCGGGTCCATCTGGGCACCAGATCCACGAAGGTTAATTATTGGTAGTTTAAATGAATTTGTTGAGTTATATATTATATACCTGTGTAACACGTTCATGAATTTTAATTATAATTTTTCTAAATTTAATTTTCTCCCTTTTCTTACACTCCTAATCGAGACCCTTTCTTCGTCCCCTTTCTGGCTGTCGGCCTAGGCAGAGTTCTTTCTCTTAAGTTGTTTTTCAAATCCCTAATTCTATTCCCATTCTACCCAAATCACTAATTATAAATTTAATTGGCAATCTCATAACCCAACACAAATCACCCTAAATGTCAGGGTTTATAACAGATGTGCTCATATTTTGGGGAATTCAAACTAAGTGGTTACCGTTGTAAAACAGAGTGGTTCAATCCCCCAATAATATATAGTACACTTTTGTTTACTTTTTTTCATTTCAAATTTCCTGCAACGAGAGTGAAAATAGGAACTAGGAAGGACATTTTTCTCTTTACAATTAATTATTTATCTCACATAAAAAATATCAACATCAAGATTTGAACCTGGGTCTCTTCAAACAAAGACAACAATCACAACCATTTATGCTGAACAAATTTGTTGTGTCTTTTTTAATACAAAATATACACGAAGTTCAACTCTCTGAAAATCACAGGACTTTCCATCATGATTAGCAAGCCCACTAAGTATACCGTATGTATTTTTATGGTGCTTGATACTTCAATTTTCATAGTAGAGATTCGTGTAATTTTCTCAATTTTAAAATTCTTTCTCTCTCCTTAATTTTTGCTAAAGGTAAATTGGCAATTGGCTAACATGGAAAAAACTAATTTTGTCACTACGTGTTGTGTCCTTGCATTTTTCAATTTAAATTTGTGGTTTTATCTTTGTTCTTATCTATTTCTAACTTCCTCGGAAATTTCCTCCAACGTAGAATAGTTTGCGCCCCTTTCACTTCCCAATACAAGGCCGCCTTTGAAAATCAATCATCCGATATCTCTTGGCACGTCAGTTTTATTGTTGCGGATTTAAGTTAGCAAAGTAAAAGAGTTTAATAAATAATGGAGTTGCAGAAGGAGGATTAGAAATTGAATTTTTGGTTGAAAATATGTCTCTTGAGATATAAAAAAAAGCCTATACAAGGAAGAGTGGTGGCTATTGGATCTTATGTTTATGGTTTTTACATCTATCACAACCTATTTTTATCTTAAAACGAGGAATCATTGATTGATTTATTGAAGTAGGTCGATTCTTTATTCAACCTACTGGAACTGATAGACAAGGAGTGTCTAATTTTGTGCCTTATTACTTTGATTGAGTCTATTAGTGTGTGGGAGATAACCCTAATTTTGTCGTTTGCTCTCAAGTTTTGATGGTCCCCTCTTAGCTTAGTTGTTAGTATATAGTTGACTTGAATCAACAACTCTCTATTTCTTTTTCATTAGTGGCACATTGTTCATAAAAGGAGTGCATTAAACCTTTATGTAGGATTGTGAGATTTAAGATTTAGTTTCAAACTATTTATGGGTCGTGTGAAATTTCACTGATCGTTTATACCCTCTTTCTTGAAAACCAACTAACCAATAACATTTTAACGAGGGCTTAATTAACATTATGAAAATGGAATTAATGATACATTTTATATTCTTAAATGATGATAGTATTTCTCCGAATGTTAGACCTATATATTCTTGAGGAATTCTTGAGTGCTCCCGGAGCACCACCTCAGCCGTGCTCCCTCCCAATAAATATGCGCCACCTTAATGATAATAAATAATAGGTGATACTGATATTTAATTAAAGTTGAAATGCGTAATTAAGGGTGGTTATCTTTGGTTACAGAGTTCTCATCCTTGGGAAAAAAATGTTAAATTATTCATTTTAATTTGGAACTCCATGTCCTTTTATAGCTGAAGATACTTTTGGTATTTCCTATGGTAAATAGCTAAGGCATTGTAATGAATAAAATACAAAATCAATGATCGTTAGGTAATATCATTTTACTAATATATTGTGTAAAAATGATAGAACTACAATTATTGGTTACATAATAATTAAATTTTACGTGTTATGCAAAATTCTGTAATGATTTGACACTTTACGTGTTATTTGTTATGTAAATATATCATCGGTTACGTAAGACTCATATAATGTCATTTTACAGCTATTATGTAAGATACAAATAGATTGTAAAATATATAAAACGACAATTAGTTCTTACATAACAGTTAAATCATACGTGTTATATACGACTTCTATAATGACTCAACACTTTGACGTAATAGAGTGTTAATAATCATTACGTAAAACAATGTGGAATCACTATTATATTTTACATAATAATATGCAAACAACAGACTAGACCAGACCAGACCAAGAGATCAATACATCATATAGTACAGACCATAGACCAGACCAAAATATTCTTAACGGTCTAATGGTCCGAACCAAACTATACGATCCAGTTTGATCCATGGTTTTTCAAACGGTCTAATCTATCTTCCCAACCCTACTTCTTCATTCACATTTGTCTATTTCAGAAAATTAGCCCCAAACTCATTTCTATTATGCTGGTAACAATACTTCCCCAAAGTAATTATTGTTTTCATGGCTTATTGTCTTTGGGAACAACCGTGCCAACCCAGGGTGACGAAAAAACAAATAAAAAGGGAAAGTCTTGAATAATTACGGAATTATAATTATGGAATTAATCATTAAATTGAGTTTCCGGTATAAACCTTTTGCTTTTAATTAGTACCATACAGGTGAAAGGTGTACAAGTTTGAGAACGTGAAAAGGCTAGGTTATGGTTCTCTCTTCTGCAGTGAACGGCGACCCTATGTCGACGACGACGCTCACCCCTTCAGGGTATCCGTCGGACCCTGTCCTGCCGGTGGCCTCCTCTAATCCATTTGTAGCTCCACCTGTTGATTTGGCGGGACCGGTTTGTACGGATGCGGCCTCAACCCCCGGTAGGAGTGTAGCTCAATCCCCTTCGCAACCCAGTTATGCGAAAGCAGTTATGGGGCAAAAATCCCAGGATCTGGCTCAATCGGTGAACACCCATTGGATGCCGGTCGGAGAGCATGACCTCGTCCCTGGAGATCACTTTGGTGAGCCAGCTCTGAAAGTTTCATCGGGCTTCAGGGACCGTCTTTGCACCCCATGGCAGAAAACTCTAGTCGTCAGGCTCCTTGGTTGCAAAGTGGGCTTCGCAGCTCTCTGTGCGCGTCTTCGTAACCAGTGGAGACCTACGGGGACGATGGAGGTGATGGCCCTTGATCATGAAAATTTTCTTGTCAAATTGGGTAATGAGCAAGATTATTTCAAAGCCCTCACGGATGGACCATGGACGGTCTTTGATCATTACCTGCAAGTCCAACAATGGACCCCTAAGTTCAAGGTTTCGGACCCCCTTCCCCGGAAGATGATCGTCTGGGTTCACTTTCCGACACTCAAGGTTCATTTCTATCATAAGGAAGTCCTGACGATGCTAGGTAACTTAATTGGAAGAACGATCAAATTGGACTTCCATACTCTTCACCAGCAGGGAGCTAGGTTTGCAAGGATTGCAGTGGAAGTGGATATCTCCAAACCTCTGGTTCCGCGGATCTTCCTCGACGATGAGTGGCAAAAAGTTGAATACGAGAACATTCCGATGGTGTGTTTTGAATGTGGGAAGATCGGACACACCTGTCCTTGTTGTCCGAAGAGCCATCCTCAAGAACCTGCAGGTGCGTTGATAATCACCAGTGAAACCTCACCGGAAGGTTCACCGCCGGCGAGCCAGACGGTCTCGGAATCCCAACCCGGTTTCGGTCCTTGGATGTTAGTTACCAAAAAAAATTGGCGCAATCACCGGGAATCCTCCAAGAAAGGGAAGGTGGAAAATGACGTTGGGACTCAATCGCTGGGAAAATTCGGGAAGAATGGGAAAGGGGCTGGATCAATTAAGGAAAACGGGGAATCCTCCTCAAAAAGAGTTAACAATTCAGTAGCTACTCCGAGATCTCCTCTTCTGGACAATAAAGGTAACTCTAGCTCTCACAACGCGGGGAAGGGGGTGGATAAAGGAAAAAGGAAAGTGGTTCAGGAGGAGCAATCGGCGAGTAAGGGTTTGTTGGGGCCTAGACCTTTAGTTGTGTCTGACCAGGGACTGGGCCTAAAGCCCAGAAATATTGGCGAGAAAGCCATAGCGGTTGTGGACTGTTCCATGCCTACGCCAAACGCCTCCAAGCAGTCAGACTCCTGTTCATCGAGCATCGGGCTTAGGCCCAAGAACGATTAGGTTGAGAGTCCGGGTCTCACTCCTTCCTCACATCTGGTGACCGGCCCAAATGGAACCAAAATGCAAATAATCTCCATTCATCCCCCCCCCCCTATACCAACAGAGAACTCCACCCCCCAATCTCTTTCGGCAGGAGCCATGACGAAGAAGAACAAATCGTCTAAAAGCCATTCCAAAAAAGCTTCGCCTATCAAGCTCAATCCTTGCAAAGCCCTTCAGGATTGGTCGCCCGTGAAAGAGAGAAAGTCCAAGTCCAGGACTCGGATGGCAACGCTCACCTTACAAGAGATTAGCGCGTGGACCGACGCGGCGCGAGCAACGACCGACGTCAAGGCGAACCAAACTCCGACTAGTCCGATGGAGGACGCCACTTGTTTTCCATCGATCGGAATGGTGGAAATCCGGCCGAACTCCGCCTGATTGGGGCTTGTTCCTTCTCTCTTTTCCTTCCCTCTCTCCTTTTCTTCCTTTATTCAACTCCTTATGTTAAATACCTTTAATTTGAAAGTTTTTTCCTGAAACGTTGGAGGAGCAGGGAGCAAGGCCTTTGCCCGCTCACTCAAGTTGACCCTTCAACTTCATAAACCTGATTTTGTCATTATTCTTGAGCCTAAGATCAGTGGGACTACTGCTGACCGTGTTTGTGATAATTTGGGCTACTCCAACGTGATGAGGGTGGAGGCAGAAGGTAGGAAGGGTGACATCTGGATCTGCTGGGAGGAGAGCAAGTTTGCGACGCAGCTCCTTTCCGTGTTGGACCAACACATTTCCATCGAGGTCTCCCAGAACAACCAAAGACTGTTTCTGTTGACAGCCGTCTATGCTTCTCCCCGTCAAAGCCTTCAACGGAACCTTTGGGCAAGTCTCATCGCCCAAAGCAATACGGTGGACCTTCCCTGGCTGCTTACAGGGGACTTCAATGCGACCCGGTCACCTGAGGAGAAGATGGGAACTGCCTCTAATGCAACTTTCAAGAGATGCCAGGTTTTACCTGGACCAGAGGAGAGCAGCTTGCCGGTTACAAAGCTAGTCGCCTTGATCGGAGCCTCTGCAACCGCCTCTGGAATTCTGCCTTTCCTAACACTTTCGTGCTTCACCTTCCGCACCTTCACTCGGATCATAATCCCATTCTTACTTCGGTTGCCACTCAGGGGCACTCTTCTTCCTCGAGACCTCCCTTTAAATTTGAGGCAGCTTGGTTAACGCACTCTGACTTCATGAATGTTGTGACAGGTACGTGGGAAGAGAACCAAGCCCTGCCAAATGCGCTCAACACTCTGGCTACTAAGCTGCAATCCTGGAACACCAATGTCTTCGGAAATGTTCAACAAAGGAAAAGGAGATTGCTGGGACGTATCAAAGGATTGGAGGTCAGACTCGCTGTAAGCTTCAACCCAGCTCTTGCAAAGCTTCACTGCAAGCTTGAAGCTGAGCTTGACAAGGTCTTGGAGCAGGAGGAGTTGATTTGGTTTCAGAGATCCCGTGAGCAGTGGGTAAAGTTTGGGGAGCGCAATACTGCTTATTTTCACCACCAAGTGAATATAAGGAGACTTCGCAATGCTATCAGAGCTCTCAGGGACTCAAACGGTGATTGGGTGACCGATCCCAAATCTCTAGCCGCTTTGGTTTTTGTTTTCTACTCTAACCTCTACACGCAGGGGGATGATGGGTACGAGGACAAGCTTCCAAAGCAGGCCTTCCCCTGCCTTGATAGAAGGGAGCTGCAGAGTGTCTTTTGCCCTTTCAGCATCATGGACATTCATAAGGCAATTTTCGAGATGAAACCTTTTCAAGCGCCCGGTCCGGATGGCTTCCAAGCAGGGTTCTATCAACAAAAGTGGAGGGTTGTGGGTAAATCTTTGACTAATATGGCCATGGCTTTTTTCTCCTTTGACCCTCTTCCTGATGCAGTCTCAGAGTCGACAGTGGTTCTTATCCCCAAAGTGGATAAGTCGGAGTATGTCTCACAGTTGCATCCGATATCTCTCAACAACGTCAGCTTGAAGGCAATTACTAAAGCTATGACTAATCGGTTGAAACCAATTATGAAGAAGCTTATCTCGCCCCGGCAAAGTAGCTTCATTCCTGGGCGACAAACCACTGATAATGTCATCATTGTGCAAGAGATTCTGCACTCTTTCAGGAAAAAGAAAGGGAAGAAAGGTGGCTTGGTTATGAAGATAGATTTGGAGAAAGCCTACGATATGCTCCGTTGGGACTTCCTTCGGGACACTCTCAAAGAGATTGGGCTGCCCAGTGATTGGATTCGGTGTATCATGTACTGTGTGGAGAAGAACAGGATGCGGATTCTTTGGAATGGAGAGCTTCCCCCCCCCCCCCCCCTCACGCCTTCCAGAGGAGTTAGACAGGGAGACCCCCTATCCCCCTATCTTTTTGTTCTTTGTATGGAAAGACTCTCTCATTTAATTGATAGGGTTGTGGTTGATAAAAAGTGGAAACTAGTTAGACTCACTAGCAACGGCCCTCCTCGCACCCACCTCTTTTTTGCAGATGACCTTCTGCTGTTTGCGGAGGTGGAGTCCAGGCAGATCAGGATCATCAAGTCTTGCCTGGATGATTTTTGTTTTAGTTCGGGGCAGAGAATCAACTACAACAAGTCCATTATGCATGTCTCCCCGAACATTCCTCACGCAAAAACTTTGAGACTCAGCCAGGTTGCTGGCATTCCCATGAAGCAGGAACTTGGGAGATACTTGGGGATTCATGCAATCCACGGCCGTGTCACCAAGGGGAGATACCGGAGCCTCCTTCTCTGGATTAAGAAAAAGCTTGCCCCTTGGAAAGCTAAACGTCTTTCTTTTGCAGCTCGCCTCACGGTGGCCAGATCAGTAGCCTCTTCCCTCCCCACTTATCATATGAATACTGAGCTAATTCCGAGTGCAGTCTGCAGGAGCATTGACAAGATTAACCGGGAGTTTATCTGGGGAGATGATGACACCAAAACAAAAATGCATCTCATGCCTTGGGAAAAGATGATTCTTCCTAAAGACCAAGGGGGAGCTGGGATGAGATCTACCAGACAAGCCAATCTCTCAATGCTTGCTAAAGGCGGTTGGCGTTTGCTCAAGGATAAAGATAGCTTGTGGACCCAGCTGATGTGGGCAAAGTATGGCCAAAACAGAGAAGGTCTCGACATAATCAGGCCTATTCAGGGAAGTTCCTTTACCTGGAAAACCTTTTCTAAGGCTGCCAACCTTCTTCAGAAGGGTGTGTGTGGAATATCAAGAGCGGAAAACATACTAAATTTTGGTCTGACATTTGGGTGATGCAGGTTCCGCTTAAGGAGATTGTGGAGGGGCCAGTTCCGGAGGCCCTTGCTGATGCAACAATCGCTGACTTCATCTCTGAGGAAGGACAATGGAGGACATAACTTTTTGACAATCTCATTTCCCTCGACATTCAAAGAAAGATCACCAATGTTGCTGTGGATAAACTTTCCCCTGAGGAGGATACCATCTTCTGGTCCGCTTCTGCGGATGGGAATTTTACAGTTAGCTCAGCCTACAAACTTCTCGAGGGCCATAATCAAGACCCGGATCGCCAGCTCTGGAAGACCATATGGAAGCTTCCGGTCCCGGAAAGAGTAAGAAACTTTGTCTGGTTAGCTCGGCTTGGGAAGATCGCCACCAACATCATTCGTTTCCAGAGAAAGGTGGCTTCGAACCCGAACTGTTCCAGGTGCCAAGGTCAGCCGGAATCCATCCTCCACATTCTCCGAGACTGCCCTCCGGCCTCCTTCTTTTGGTCTCGGCAGGTTGAAGCAGCTAAGCAAGGCCACTTCTTTAGCTGCAATGAGGAGGTATGGTTGAGGTCCAATTTACTAGATGAGAGTACTACCCAAGCGGGTGTCCCGTGGACTTCTTTATTCAGCATAGCCATCTGGCTACTTTGGAAGAATCGGTGTACTGCCTCCATCAAAGGAATCCAGGCGGCACTTACTCCTCCTTCCCTTTCCTATGCTATCGACTCAAAAACCAAGATCTGGCACGCAGCCTGGAGCGCGCCTTCGCCCCTCTTTAGTCGCTCCAATCCCCGTCTGCCTAGAGTCGTGACTGAGGTAAGCTGGAAACCTCCTTCAAATGGCTGGCTTGCTTTGGATATTGATGGAGCTTCCAATGGGAACCCCGGTTTAGCTGGAGCAGGCGGTATTTTGAGAGATAATACAGGGCAGTGGCGAGGTGGCTTTGTCGCCAACATTGGGAATGCTACAGCAGTTCTTGCCGAGTTATGGGCCTTTTTCTATGGGCTTGAGTTGGCTTGGAAGCATGGATGTCGCGTCCTCGTCGTTCAGTCCGACTCTGAGCTTGCAATCCAGCTCATCAAAAGTCGAAATGACCCTGTTCACCCTCATGCTACGTTGTTAGCCGCTATTCGCAGGAAACTTTGCCAGGAATGGGTGGTTAGTATTACTCATACTTACCGAGAAGGGAATAGAGTCGCGGACTGGCTATCGAAGCACAGTCTCGTCTATCCCTACGGTGTGTATGAGCTTGCTAGCCCACCTATGGAGGTGAGATCGATCCTTAGGGATGACATGATGGGTGTTAGTTTTGAGCGGAGAGTTGCCTCCCGCTCCTTTTCTTCTTCCTCTTCAACTCTTGTATTCTCCCTTCTCGGCTTCGGCCTCCTGCTATGCAAAAAAAAAAAAAAAAAAAAAAAATTAGTACCATACAGGTGGCGCATATTTATTGGAAGGGAGCACGGCTGAGGTGGTGCTCCGAGAGCACTCAAGAATTCCTCATATATTCTTTCTTTATGTATCATCTCGATCGAAAGATTGTTAATAAAATTAAACCGGTTGATTGGCTTAAATGTAACATAAAAATATAATAATCAAATATGAACATTCCGGCCAATGGGCCGGGTTATAAGCTAGTTGTAAGAATATTGATTAGTAGTAGTTGGATAATTTGGTTTGGTTAATTCGGATAATTGGTTTGATTTGATTTGATTAAAAAATTTAGATTATTTGGTTCAGGTGGTTTGGTTTGGTTTCAGATATTCCTAACCAAGCAAACCAAATTGACCAGTTAAATAGTTAGCCATATATCTAATATAATATATACGCATACTTAATACATTGCCTAACCACTCAAGAGTTCAACTTTCCTGTATTTGGCCTCATAGAAATAAACTTAATTATTGTTCCTATAATGAATATTTGTAGATTGTAGACAACATATGGATACCTAATTTGGATAAAACTCATACATTATGTTAGATGAAAACTTGTTAGGAAGGTCTTTTCTGCCTATGATAATTACTAAGAAACTATGTCAATTCGCACAGTCATACCAATTAATTAGCCTCATACCATTGACACATATTTTTATTAGGTGAATACTTCTCATGATTGTAAGATAATTGTATTAGTTGCATGTATTTATGTTAAGGGTTAT